CATTGACGGACCCCAAAAAAGAATATCTAAAGTAGTCTGTTTGATATGTTTTAGTAGGGCTGCGCAGTACATGCGGTAGATAGAAACGGTATAAAGTTGGCCTACGGTAGAAATTTACCCTCTACCGTCCTATCGTCATTACGTCATCGCACCTGTGTGAACAGGGCTGCGAGTGCAGAGACAACTGAGCAGGAGTTCGAAATATAATGAAGAAATTCTAGCGTTTTAAAACACTTATAGAGAGAATAAATCCTCAAAATGTCCTCCTCCCGCTGTAGAAAAGTTACGTTGTGTCGCGGGATCTTTTCCTCCCTCCCTCCCTCTTGCTGCACGTTGCGCAGAGCGAAGCTTTAACAACCGTAGTTTTTCACACCCAGTTGTCGGAGAAAATAATTATTTTTTATGTATTGTTACCCACAGAAGTGATTAAAACAAAGACGTGGACGTTCGTTCAGTCATAAATCCATCTTGCTAATGAAAAGTCGGCTTCTGCTCTGATGATGAAGATGTTCCTTCACATGTTATATTATACCGTGATATGAATTTGAGGTCATACCGCCCAGCCCTATGTTTTAGGGATTTTATTTATGCCTTAAAAAATTCAAATGTCAAGAAAATGTAATATTAGAAGTTTTTTCTAACATTAAAAAGATTAAAATAGTTGTCTGTACTGTAGAACAAGCAGTGACAACAGTTCTCCTTCTCCATGTTGCATATTTAAGCCACAATTTTAGCCCAGAAAGGACAAACCAAACTTTTTATATCTCATTTTTGCAGCTATTTTTTTCTAGAGTCTTAGAGGATGGAGATAAGGATATTATTCAGTTGGTTGCACTCTGCAGTTTATTCCGCAAGATGCCATTGGTTCCTGAATTTCAAGCCTTGAATTTCAGCAAAAAGAAAGAAAGAAAGAAAAAAACGTTTTCCCTAAACTTGCTCATCTTTCTATTTTGTGTGAAATATAGAGCGAAACCCAAGCATATTGTAAGGAAGCATAGCTGAAGGGAATGGAGGAATGTAATGTAGGGAGCTCACAGGGGGAAAAAAATCCCATTAACATCCAGCGGTTTCACTGTATGGTAGGTCCTCAGGCTTTATTCAAAACATTTGCTTTTGTATCATATCTCTGTCTTCATTCTCCTGCATTAAAAGGAGCATGTATTTGTGCTGCAGATGCTGTATCAACCTTAGCCTGTTTCAGAGTGATAAAAAACTTCACAATCACCTTCGTGCACATCTTTAACTCTCTTGCCACCTCACCAAATTCACACATCTGCATGAAAGCCCTCTGCTGGAAACATCGGTCTTCTTCCTGCTGTCCTGGAGCAGCTTCCTCTCAGCCGAAGCCAGTGGACTTTCAGGTGAGCCCTGTGTGACGGATGTTGTTTGTGTGTCTGTGGCCGTATCAGTTCTCTGGGTGAGTGGTAGGTCAGACCGAATACAAATCCTGTTAGCCCTTTTCCCCTCAGGCGTCACTTCTCAGCTGCCTGCGCTGACTTGCACACCGCCCCTCAATATGAATCACACAAGCAGCTGTTTGTTTGGCACGCTCTGCTGCTGCTCGGTTTGAGGCGTCTCCATAAGAATTCACTCTTAAACTTAAACTGGGATTGATGCTTGATGTTCATTGGATGCGTACAAATAACTCCTAAAAATGTGCAATCTATTGAAATAATTTATAGAAGAAAATACACTTAGGTATTTAACTGTTGATTTTATTCTACTTTCAAACTTAACTATTTATTTAAGCTTGTTTACACTTTTCATTTCTGAAATGTCAACGCATAGTTACAGAAAATAACAGTTTATGGTATTTTCCTGTCTTGATTATGTAAAATTTCTGTAAAAAGAAGAACTGCTTATCCCATTTTGTAGTATTTCTCTATCCCTTTCCCAACTCTTTGACCATTCATTTGAAATTGCAAGTTGTACAAAATGGGACATCTCATAAAGACATCTAATTCCCAGTAATTGTCACAAAACTCTTTATAAGCCCTGTCACACTATAACATTTTAGACAATTTATTGCAGACTTATGAAAAATTTGTTATAACTATTTTACGCATATCTGCTAAATAGTCAACCTATTTGTTATCATTACGGTAAGTGAAGGTCCACGAGGCTTCCAGTGTTTTTTTTAACCCCATCTTCATCTTAGACATCTGTAGTGTTGGACAAACTTTAACAAGTTAGCAAAACTTGTCTAAAATGTAATAGTGTGACATGGCTTTTACATAAACAAATGTATGCCCATTTATGTAATTGACACCAGCAGCAGACAGTGTTTTTATATGCTTGTTATGGATGATTGACAGTAAACGATGCAATACATCAGAAGGCACCAAACTAGACATTAAATTGATTGTGGAGACAAAGTATTTTAATGTAATGCTTTAGTTATTTGCTGAAACTTTGAGTCAGGTCCTCTGGGCGGGTTCTTCTTTGTTGAAACGTTTTGTCTCTTGGAGAAGAGACAAAAAGGAGTCGAAAGCGGTGAGTTGACCTCAAGTAATCATTAAAAATCATTTAATGGCTTTGAATATCTAAAATGCATTTGTCACCCTTTACTTATTTCAAAATATAATTCAGTTTTGTTTGGAATGTAGTACTTTTGGGTTTACAGCCAAGTATTGTCCTCCTCCTATGCTGACCATTGCATTAATATGATGTTCATACTCAAATGTTATCTCTCCCGTCTGCATTTGCTCTATCTGAAGGATTCAACTTAATCAACTGTCGAGCTCTCTTCCTCTCTCTCACTTGGCAATTGTCCCTGTGGCTTGTAGAGGGAAAAATGTGGTCTCTAATGAAAGACTTTGACCTTTCTCTATTGGGCCAAGATATTCTGTTTATGAAGTACTCCCTTCTAAGTGCTGCCCAGTGTGGGAGTTAGACTACAACAAAACAAATCACAGGGCAATGGTTCCTGGTGCTATTTGATGCAGAGACTATTCTGTTGATAGTATGCTTATTAGTAGGATCTGTTATTAAAGGAGACAAACCCTGCCTTTAGATCCTTCTTTTTCACATTCAGTTGGAGTCTATATAAAGTGGAACTGCAATGCTTTGGTCTAAATTCCTCTTTATTGTAACTGTACAAGCCCCTCTTTTACCTCTTTTATGAGGTGTGTCTCAGATCAACTCGTTTTGATACTGTTTCTTTAAATCCAAATGAAGTGCTTCACACCACTCCTAGAGACTCCAAGTACACAACAAAATAGCAGATAAAAAGTGAATTTTGTACATGTCCTCTTTAAGATCCTACATTTGGACTTGAAATCTACATGTTCATATCATCAAATATTACTTGCAGTCATCTAATTTTCTTTTTAATGCCCGTAAGTCTCCACTTGGGAAGTAGCAGCATGTGATTCAGAGGAAGTGAGACTCCTCCCGGGTGTCCTTTAGTTAGTGAGGCTCTTTCTGTCTTTGCTAATTGTTTGAATTTAGTGAGGGCATGCCTAATGACCCTCAGCTTTGGAGGCAGCTTTGCTATCATTAATCTTACACGCCTCACAATTCTTCGTTTTGAGATTTGTCTATTCTCCAGCCACATTTGTTTTGTGGAAATGATGTGCATTGTAGAGGTAACCCTGGTGAAAAAAACTTTTCTATTGTTTATTTTCTTTGTCTTTGATTTTATATTTTTACACTTATAAGAAGAAAATCATTTTAAAGTGTTTTTATTTTCTTTAAGTGAATGGGACAAAGTCCTATA